ATACACATACACACATACACACACTTATACACACGACTGTGTGAATCCAGGACTTCCTCACTGTTTGATCTCCTGTGATCACATGCTATTTACAGAGGCCCTTTTAAAAAGCAGAGCAGTAGCTGGGCGTTGGTGGTGCATGCCTTTAATCCCAGCACTCGAGAGGCAGAGATAGGTGGATCTCTGTGAGTTCGAGGCCAGCCTGATCTCCAGAGTGAGTGCCAGGATAGGCTCCAAAGCTACACAGAGAAACCCTGTCTCGAAAAACCAAAAAAAAAAAAAAAAATGCAGAGCAGTAGATATGTTGTGAGTGAAAGAACAGAGGCCACCTCGAGGCCTGGCAGCAGTCATGGGAAGGCCTTTCTTCTGTGGTCCAAAATTACCCAGAAATACCACACCTTCTTTCATAGCACTGACTGTGGCCACACCCTTTGAGACGATCTACATGGGCCTTTGGAGCTACAACTGTGTCCTTTCCTGTATCGCCATCGGAGGCATGTTCTACGCCCTCACCTGGCAGACACACCTGCTGGCACTAGTCTGTGGTAGGTTTTTAAGAAAGTGACGGTCAAGCCCTGTGGCTGGTCTTCTCTTAATTGTATGTCTGCTAATTCATTATTAAAATTGGTGGAGACAAGATGAGAATGGAGTGTGGACTCTGTGAAAAGCCATGATGAAGTGAGGAGAAGATCAAGGGAATGTAAGCTCTAACTTCTGGCCTCAGATAATGCATAGTCATGGGAGAAATAGCTGCAAAGTAAAGAACAGCGTCAGGTAAATGCTGGTGTCAGGACACCAAGGCTGTAGCAAAGCTGGTTCTGGGTCTGGGCCATCCTGCTTTGCTAGGGCAGTGAGGGAAGGAGACAGGTCCTGGGAAGCTGACTCTGATGGTCTTGTTCCTCCACAGCCCTGTTCTGTGCATACATGGGAGCAGCCCTCTCCAACATGATGGCAGTGGTAAGTCTGGACTATCTGAGCACCAGCCTAAGGTCTTCCTCCCACTTAGAATGCACATGGGGTCTTATAGAAGAAGACTGGGGAATGGTGTAGCTGTAACATCATTTGGTCCCTTACCCTGTGTGTGTGTGTGTGTGTGAAGTTTATCCATGATTCATCCAAAGAAGAACCTTTCACATGTAGTTCTAGTGGATATTCTTGAGTGTGTTTCCCGAGTGTGTGTGTGTGTGTGTGTGTGTGTGTGTGTGTGTTTGTATCTGTTTCTATGTGTGTTTGTGTCTGTGTTGTCTGTTTGTGTCTGTGTTTGTGTCTGTGCTTGTGTCTGTGTGTGTGTCTATGTGTGTGTGTGTATGTCTGTGTATGTCTGTCTGTGTGTGTCTGTCTGTGTGTGTCTGTGTGTCTCTGGGTGTGTGTGTCTGTCGCTGGGTGTCTGGGTGTCTATGTGTATCTGTGTGTGTGTCTATGTATGTCTGTGTGTATCTGTGTGTGTGTCTATGTCTGTGTGTGTCTGTGTATGGCTCTCTGTGTGTCTGTGTGTCTATATTTGTATGTTGAAGGAGCAGTGAAGAACAGGGATGGACAAATAGCACTCTAAGGTTGGGAGTCAGAACCATTCAGGCCCAGCATTACGATTCTGACTAAGCCCAAAGACAGCAACATCTCAAACTCCTTGACCAGCTCCTGTGACACTCTTGAGTCCAGGAACGCTAACTAATGCCTTCACACAGAAGAAATCAGGGTTCCCCATCCACAATTCCTATCATACCCTTCTTCCCAGATTTCTGGCCCAACACAGGCACCTGGAAACATTCTTCCATCTCTTGTTTCCATTTGCAGGTTGGCGTGCCACCAGGTACCTGGGCCTTCTGTCTCTCCACCCTCACCTTCCTCCTCCTGACGAGCAACAACCCTGGCATCTACAAGCTCCCACTCAGCAAAGTCACCTACCCAGAGGCCAACCGCATCTACTTCCTGACAATGAAAAGCAATGAAGAAGAGAAGCCCCCCAATGGTGACTAGCCCAGCTCCAAGCAGAAACGCTCTTGCCTGAACCCCTGTAGTCTCAACTCTGGCCAATCAACTCAGCACACTTTCTTTGCCTCTCCTTGCTCCTGTATCAAATCAAACACACCTGGTCCTCCCTAACCCTGAGGCCAATTTGCTCGCTCTGCCCAGATCTTTATAACTACCCTTGGTGCAGCATTAAAGGAAGCTGGTATGCCCT